CTAATATTAGGATTAATATCGAGACTGTTGAAATATTTACGATACCGGTATGGTTCGGTTGATCAGCTCACGTTACGCGAATTAATTAAGTGACCTGCCGAAAGGTATCGCGTTCGTTGCGATCAATCGATTTACCCCCCGAGGAAATAATCAAACGCACCTAGCTAGGCTCTGTGTTTGGCAAGTTATACAACGCGGTTTCGATTATACCAAGAGTTTTTTTCCGTTTTCGAATCGATTTTACAGGTTCGGCGTACATTTGCAACTTTCTTTGTCGCGGCGAGCGAGAGAGGTGAGAAATTCAGGAATACACGGGGAACAGTCGAGTTTGGGAGAAGAATCGAACGACCAATCGTGTCTCTGCGTGATTAAAATTACGAGAGAGTTCTCCTGAGAGTAAGTTCTCGACCAATTTCCTTTTCCTGACGTTCTTTCGCTCTCAGGAGAGTTCTCTCGAGAGTACGAAACTGCTTCCAGCTCGCAAAGCAACTCTCCGAGAGCAGTCCATTTGAAATCAAGTTTCCATACACAAACTCTCAGAAAGTCACTCTCGAAAGGATAAACATACACAGGACCTGACTCGCGTTTCTTATGTTCGGCGCAGAAAAAATATCTCGAGTTTAATACCCGGCCTGCACAACATTTGCAAGGGTGACTTTACTCCCGAGGATTCTTCGTAAGCTAGCTGCGCGTAAATAGCGAGCGGAAATCGGGCAGAACGACACGACCTCAGTCAGTATTTACTTGGCTGCCGAACCAGTCCCTCGACGCTTATTCAGTGCGATTTTAGGCTTGTAGAAAATTCAGTGCTTCCTCGAACAACGCGGTTTCCAATCAATTTACGTAATTAGCTTAGCTTCGTCGTGTTCCTTATCCTCGAGAATAAGAGTGCAACACGCAAGAATTGAAGGGCGCAACGAACAGCCGAATTTGGAAGAAATATGAAGTAACCGGTGTTCCTGCGAGCTGCTAGCTGCAGGTTCACGGCATGTATACGCGTGAATTGTGTATTAATATATGTGTACGCATATATACACGTGCACAGTCGAATAATTGAGTTAATTGAAAATAGAAGAGGGCCTGTGTATCGCTAATTAGATTAATTATTGGTATATTTGCGTGTTATCGTAGCCTAAATTTAGTTTTATTGTAACAAGACGTGCTATGGTTACTAAGCAACGTCAAACCAGTTTCTTATTGCTTTATCCCCGAGATTTATATATATTCCACCCTTTTCCGGGGAAATATAGTTTCTCAATAGGCCTTTAAACGCGACATACTTGGTCTGCCATTATGTCAACCACAATGTGTGGGAATTGAAAATATTCAGGTGGTTTTATAGTTACGACACGTATACACACGCTCATTGGAAGCCGATAAACGTGCTCGAGTTTGGAAGGCGGGGGTGGTTCCAAGGTACTCTAACACCCGTGTTATTCAAGGTAAACGGTTTCGTAACAAACGAGAAAGAGAGACGTTTCAGATTTTCACGTTTCTACCTGCCACCCCCACCTAACAAGTCCTTAGAGTTTTTCCAGACGCGTAAAACCTTGTCGCTTTTGTTTAATCTTTCATTCCGCGTCATTTGTGATAAAGGGTCGGCGCCGTTCTTTCCGCTTTGATTTTTCTCGAGACGTCTGGCGGGGCATTCCGTCGCATAAATTCTTAACTGGGTGAAATTAGCGAATTAAAAGTGGGAGAGGAAAGGGAGAAAGGTGGACGAGAAGAAGAAGCAGGAAGGGGGGGGCTGGTTGGTTCGCGGCGCAGAGGCTTTCTCGGCCCTGTCACGAGGTCACCGCTGACATTGCCAAAGAGAACCGGAAACGATGTCGAGGGCGAAGAAAAAAGGAGGAGAAGAAACAAGAAACGTGACTGTGAATTGGAGAGTAGCTCTCGTTTCTTCTTATTCCTGCAAGCAGGCAGCAGCTCGTAGATACGGATATGCAAGCTCGTTTGGAAAGCGTGTCGATCACCCCTCTCTCGCTAAGGACTTCATTTTTATTCATGCACCGACGATACGGCAATTTTTCGCAGTCTTAACCGGGCTTTAAAATTGTCCGGTCAATTTCGCCGGTAGAACGTGCTCGTTTTTTTAAAACGTCGCGAAAGGGGTTGACTCCGCTCGTTCCTACACCTTGGCGATTCTTCGTCGTTTGTATCGTTATTAACGGGCCCATTCTCGTGGTCGTTTATCGCTCTATCGAATATTAATGCCGCCGCCGTGATTCCGTTCCGTTGGAAGAAAAAACGAGAGGAGGGACGAAACCCTTGGAGAACTAGCACCGGGAATGTTCGCGTAGAGTTAACGCGACCGCTCTTAGCGTTGAGGAAAACCGATTAATTCGGCGCGCATGGGGTGACCGATCATTAGATTTCACCCCATGAAAATTGAGTTTTCCTCGTTGCCGAAGGGATAATCTTTGGTAGCCTCTGGCCCGCTGTATACGAACTCTGTCGTCTATCCGCCAACACGATCGCAAATGTGTACGGCCATTTATTAGGCTACCGCGCGTCCTTCTCCTGCATGTGCATGTGTCTATGCATCGAGCTGCGTGTGTGTGAATACAACGTGATAGCGAGCGTGTTCTCTCTCTCTCTCTCTGTATACGTGTGGCGGTGTGCGCGTGCGACGGTGGCGGCGCGTAACTTCGGTTCCATTATTGAGCGATCGGGCGATCGAAAAATTCCCGCGCTTTTTCGCGTGCGGCATCCCGAGTGGGGCGTGCCGAACTCCTATTGGCTGTACGCCCAGTCACCCTCGTAAGCCTGCCAAAGGGTGGGGAGGATGGACTGTACACCCTCGGCAGGTATTTGTCTAGGCTGCAGCTATTGACCAGCTATCGATATCGTGGACACTCACCGATATTATATTCGCCATCCTTCCTTTCTGCTGTCCTCCACACCGTATCCCACCCCACCCCTTTAACCCAACTCTACCCCCTCCACTATTACGCCACCGTTTCTCGTTTTGCCGGCCGGTAACCAGCGCGAATTCTGCCGAATTTCGGTTAATGAATTATACGCATATATATACATATATACACGTTGCAAATTTTATAGGCGTGAGAATATATATTCGGCCGTCGAGGGAAATTGTTGTAATGCCCGCGTTATACTGTTGGAGCGTGTGTGGGACATAAAGGGGTGGCGTGGAGATGGAGGTAGGGGGATGGCGCGTGAACGCGACGGTGCGGCAGTAAATTCCCGCCGTTTTTTGACTTTGACCGGCCAATCGCGGGAGCAGCGGCGGCGGCGGCGAGATCTCGCACCGAAACGAGAAATCAATATGGTATGCAAATGCTGTGCGGAAGCGGGTATCGTTTGGGAAAACAACGAGGGAGGAAGGGAGGGAATTCGAAAGGAATTCGAGTCGGGGCGAGCGCAGGTTGATTTTTCGATCGCGAGAAATTGGTATGTCGACGTGGCGAGAGATCGATCAGAAAATGAGGAATTTCAGTTGGTCGCTGAGAGAGAGAGAGAGAGAGGGTGGAAATTTGTGTGTGTGGATCTAGAGCGGAATCGAGTCGATTCGGATTTGCCGGATGAATAAGTTAAACGACGTGTGCGTGTACGGTGGATTTATTCAGGAGGATTTTTCGCTCTCGATGTCTCGAAGACACCCTAGAATAATCCCCTTTATTTAAAACGTTTCATCGATAAAGACACGGAAACGGAAAGGCGTGCATGCGATAGATGCGCGTACACGGACGTTAGCTGAAGTACCAGCCGCAGTAGAGTGGAATGAGAAGCTCGGTACGTGGGAAGGGTGATTATTAATGTAAGGGGTTGCTGAGCAGTAGTTACTTGCTCGTTGGTAGTCGTCGAAAAGGACGAAGGGGTGAAACGAGTGTGCTGAAATCAATGTCCGCCCCTTTTTTCCACCGTTAAACACACGGTTTTAACGAACGTTTCTCAAAAGTTTTTCTTTCGTCGAGCAGAGGAGGATAGCGCGAGTAAGTAAGCAAATTGCCTCTCCTAGGAATCATTTCGAAGGAATGTTTTGTTAAGAATCGATCTGTTATCTCTCTCTCTCTCTCGCTCTGTGTCGGACGTTTCGATTAAATAGCTCGCATACCGACCAGGTTTTCTGCTTTTTTTCCATTCGAAAGCAGATCTTGAACGAGATGAACGAGACTTTTCCAAGGGTTCGTCCAGTCATACGCGGCGCTGACCGTTCACTTGGCTCCCTCTCTCTCTCTCTCTCTCTCTTTCTTTCTCGAGGCTAATACCTTCCGATTGACTACGCTCATCCCTTAATGAAATTCTTTCAAGCCGGGCGCGACCCATTGGCTGGCTTTGCCGTCGAATTTTCTCATTATTACCGGGTCCCTTTCTGCCCGTGTATTCCCTCTCTTACGTCTTTCCGTCACCGCTATTCTTAGTCCGTTCGCGAACGCTCGCTCGATAAATTCGATCGTTCGCCCCGCGTAAATTGAACTTATCTGCAATACGCAGCTCTTGTATGCATACCGGGCGACAACGTGTTCAGTCAACGGTGTCTTGGAAACCACGGTTCTGGTGCGGGTACGAGGCGCATTGAGCAATCTCGCAGCATGCATTAAAATTAGCCACAATCGGAACGCACGATCGCTTGTACAGATTATAATAGTATATTAATTTATTGATTATCGACTGGCCGCGATGCAATGCGGTATTCATAGAATTTACTATCTGTCCCGGGGATACTGAATGCATGCATTAAGCCCGGCGACTCGTCCATTTTACCAACCTACAGATCACCGGCGAATTATTTCGTATCGTAGAGAAAGAACCGAACGAGAAACAGAAAAAGAAACAAAAAACAAGTATTCCATCGAAGGATCAACGAGAAGAGAAAAGTTTCCCTCGCCTGTCGATTGAACGAAAAGAGCGAAGAAAAAAAAAAAAGTAAACGCTACACGGTAGCACGGAAATCAGAATCGCGGCGACGACGACGATGATTCTCAGGTAGGATTTCGCGAAGGTATCGGTTTAGACTGAGGTTAAGACAAATAACTCACCCGTATGCAGGCGGGTATGTTGCTGTACATGGCTGAGCTGCTTGAACCTGCGGTCGCAATAGCTGCATTTGTACGGTTTCTCGCCGGTGTGGACCCTGATGTGCTGTACGAGCTGGTGGTTGCTGGAGAATGACTTGAGGCATTGCTGGCACTGGTGTGGCTTTACCTCGTTCCCGGTGATCATGCCGCCTGGTCCGACGCCGATCGGCCCTAAGGATGCCAGTCCGCCCGTCATGCCGCCGCCAGCTCTCCCCGCGTGCATCTGCATCGCGCTCTTGTGCATGATGATCTGCGAGAAGAACTGCCAGAGTTAGTTGGTACGCTGTACTTTTGGTCGTAAGACGGAGGATGGCAATTTAATTGGCAATTGGAATGGCCGATAGCCATTCACCTCCTGGATTGTGCTAGAGTGTTCCGCCGACACGTTTTTCATCCCCCTTGGTCGCCGTTTCTCTTTCTCTTCTCGTCGTTCGTTAAGTTAGTCAAGGTGCAACGAGAGAGAAAAATGTTTGTCTCGGGGGTGAAAACGTTCGGCTTCGCCTCGGTTTCGTTGCGCGTAGACGGTTCGAGCGATCTTCGCGACTCTCTTATGCAATTATAGGATGACGAGAGAATCGGGAAACTGCGAGCTATGTCGTTTACGTTTTCAGTTATTCATAGGTGAACTCGCGGTTGCCTGGGCTCGCGATTCGACTCGTTGCCCGATACTAATTGCCCGGCTACGTTCAGTCGGAGTTTTCAAATTTAATGCGATTCATTAACTAGAAAGTTGCTTGGTGTAATTTAACCGGGGTACTTACGGCCACTCGTTGGATACATCGTCGCGCGACACGTCGCGGAATCGATTTAAGTTCATCCACGAGAGTTTCCGCTGTACCGCCTATTAATCGGCGTTCGATTAGACGGGGGGATTTGCTTTGTTCGAACAACACCAGACCTCGTTCGCGCGTTTCGTTCTAATTGAGAAATCTTCCCAGTTGTCTCGTTATCTCTCGGCTCGAGCCGGGGGTTCGATTTGAAGGTAGAAAATTGTCGGCGCAAACGGTAACGTGCGCATAGGTCTCGTATCACAGAAGGTTCTCCGCGAATTTAGTAGGAAGCGCGTAACAGCTGGCCGCAAAAGGGGTCAACGACCGTCGCCGTGGTTTTCGAAACCAGCCATCCGATCGATGTTTTTCGATTTATACACGCGTTGCACACGCGTGTGTACCGCACGGAGAGCGCAAGTTCCGCCGTACACTTTTGCTGTTCCTCCTCGATCAGGAGGAACGTAAAACTGGCGGAAGGGCCCAGCGTGTGTAGGAGCGGGTGGAACGGGGAGGAACGCTTGATTTCGGGTTCTCGTTTGAGGGAACAGGTGTTCCTCCCGTCGTCCCGGTGTGGGTGTAGGTGAACGAACGAAAGGGTTAACGTTAAAACGGTCGTACAGTGCGTGGCAAAAGTCGGGAAGGGCGAGGGAGATTTGTCGGGCATCGGGAGAGAGAGAAAGTTGGTGGAATTAAAGGGAAGGAGGGAGGGAGGGAGGAACTGCGAAGGATTTTATTAAAATATGTTAAAACTGTAATTAAAATCGAAAAATCTCGCGAGAAGTTTTAAGAATCTTAGAGAGAACCACCCTCTTTCGTTACGGGCGGGAGAAGGACAGCTCCTCAAGTTTCCACGACTTTCAACCCTTTCTTTCTGGGGACGACGCGACGTTGGATATTTGACGGGCGACCTTCGACACTGGGCATCCCTGGATTCTTAATCCCCGTGAGAGAGGGAGAGGCTGCGACTCGATTTTATTCCTCCTTTTTTTCTTCTTCACCCGGACACGTTTCTTTCGCCCCGGAGACAAATCAATCCGAGTCGTGTTTCTCCTCGATTTCAATAAAAATTGCTCGTGTTTGGGGGATATCGGTGTCCACCAAATCCATTTCCTCTCTCTCTCTCCACTTCTTGATTACTCTTTAATTCGCAACCTCCTTCCGATTTTTCTTCGCGAGAGGGTTACGATCTACGACGCGAGGTCGTTTTCACGACGATTAACCGTGGGCCAAGGGCTGGCGAGGGAGAGGGTGAGAAACGATTCGAAACGCTAGGCAAAGTCGAGTTGCGAATTTTTAACGACCGTCTCAAGTGGACCGTGTCGAGATTTTTCCTCCAACTTTCCTACGAAAATCGTCGGCGAATGTAGCAGCAGTCGGAGGAATTTCCTCGTCTCCCTAACCGCGACTTTTTCCCCGCGAATGTTAATTAACCGTCGCGACGATTTACAAAAGGCTCCTCCCCGGCTTTTTCTTAAACTCGAAGATCATACGTTCATTAATCAAATTTTTATCTCCCGGCGGACGGAAAATTGCGTTCCGTCGCCGCGGTCATACCAGCCGGTTTGAATCTTTTTTTCTGATTTATCGCCGTCGTCGTCGCCGTTGTCGCGGCAAAAAAAAAAAAAAAAAAAATAAAGGAAAGGAGAGAGAGGAAGAAGAAAACGGAAAGTGTTGCTTTGCCTGCGGGCCCGCCCGGCTTAATGTCCTTAATAATGGAAAAATATATCAAGCGACACCCAGTGTATTTCCCTGAAAAACATCCCTCATCCTGATTTCCACCCTTCTGCTCTCTACTACCGCCGCCGTCGTCGTCGTCGTCGTCGAGTTACGAGAAGAACGTTTCACTCTCTGACATATTCGAACTTGCACACCTCCACTATTTTACACACACACGCACACACAGGGCGTAATAATAATCGAAGGATAAAAATATCTGTCGTTCGATTCTCAACTGTCTGGGGTTGCGTGGGAGTAAGTTGGCCCGGTTTTTCGAAAGGGATCCCAAGGATCTGAGCGACGCAACCCTTTGTCTCTCCCCTGGTGCAGTAAATTACGACGGAATAACATTGGTCACTGGAAGTAGGCTACTTTATACACTTGGAACACAAAGCAAAGGTCTCACCTGCTGACCATATGCCTTTTCTCCATGGCACACATACGTACGTAACGTGTTCCGTCCACCCACGCACGCCGGCCATCTAGCACTTCGCATGTGCTATTAACTCGAAGGTATGTGTGCCTCTCTGTACGTGCGGCACAGCTCTTTGTATGCATGTGCTCGTACACCTGTGTACGTGTGTGTGTGTGTCTACGCGGAGACAACGTCCAATCTAACCTACCTAGCGTTGCCTGACTCATTCTCCTACCTACCCACCTATCTGTCTAAACTGCAGCCGCGAATAGTGCTGTAATATAAAGGAAAAGGTGGACCTTCTCCGCCTCTTTCTCTCCCTCCCTCTCTCTCTCTCTGGATCTCCCGGTCTGTAATCGTCGACTTTAATCTGTCTGAATCGCGGCACCATGATCCTGTGTGCTCTGTTGCGCTTCCGGTTATAGGGTAACCTGCCGATCGCGGAGCCTCGTCTTTTTCGGATCCCTTGATCCCGACCTTCTGATTAGGGGATTCGTGAAAATAAATGCCCGCTGTGCGAGAAATTGGCCGGTGACTCGGAAGCGGGACCAACACCTGACGAACGATAGGCGACGGTTTGAATTTTAGACGCAGCGAAAATTAGGATAGTACGTTGCTCTGATTAAGATTAGCCAGACACTTTCGATCAGTTTTTCCCGCGATAAGTGATTGTGAAAGGTGGTGGTGTGAGAGACCTTGGGGAAATACTACTTTTCTAGCCTTCGTGGTCGGTGAGAAAAAGGTGGAATTAGCGCCGAATATATACCGTTAACCGCACGGAAAGATTTCGCAAGAACGACGGCAGGCAGGAGGACGTTGAGATGCGACAAGCACGGAAAGATGTGTCGGTAAATTGTTTCCTCGATAATCTAACGTTTGCAAAAGAGAAAGAGAGAGTCGGGAAAGTAGCTGGTGGACGACAACTGCGCTTTGTCATCCTCGACGTTCGCCTGTAATCGAAGAAACTAATGTTTCAACGATAATACACGCGAAGGCAAAGCCACCGGTGACCAATTAAAGATTCATGAATTTCTTAAAGCAAACGCGAAACCGTTGTTGGTGCGCGTCAAGGGAAACCCGTTTAGGCGCGTTACCAGACAGTTAACCGGAGTTGGTGTCAAAATAGCACGTTGGAAACTTACACCGGCCACGTTATATTAATCGTCAATACTTGTCTGGCGAACGCCGCGCCGGCTTTACACACACTCTCGGACCCGTGATTGTACACCGTTACCTTGTGGTGGGAAGCGAACTTGTGCTATAGTCGGTTAAAGTCATCGTTGTAGGTTTCCCTTATGATATTAATCACGCGTACGCCTTGCCGTGTAGCCACAGAGTAACAATCTCTAATCCTGGATCATACGGTGCTCGATTAGCCCAATAAGAGGGCAACGACAGACGGCTTTACATACTTTTGCCTCTCGGTCACTTTCTACTCGCTCCGTAGATCCTTAAACGGTTCATTCTAACTTCACCATCGTGCCGTCTAATTTCGCGGAGAATTAGATAGAGAGAGATTAGCAGGTTGGAGTGTAAATTCCTCGTGGAACGTTCGAATCAGAAGATAGGCGAAAAGAAGATGTAAATCTTAGTTGGAATTAATCGACGTAGCAATTAAAGTCACGTAGGATCGGCGAACGCATTTCGGGGACAAGTGGAACTAGCTGAGTTTCGAAAGATTCTTGGAGTTGTAGGGAAGATAGCCGGTTGTAGCAGCCTGGAATATCGTCAATAATTACCTCATGCGGCAAGTGGTGATGAGGATGCTGATACGGCGGCGGTACGTACGGCGGGTGGCTCGGATGGTTGTGGGGGTGAGGTCGGGGATGGTTTTGATGCTGGGCTTGCGGCGGGAGCGGTTGGGGCGCAGGAGGCGGTGTCCAAGGCCCGTGGTTCGGCCCGTGGCTTTCATTGGTGCCATACATCTTCAGGGAAGAATCTCGAGCACGCGACCTGAAGAGTCCCTCCCGCCCTCCACGCACGGTGATACGAAAGACTCTGATACTGACATGGCTACCCTTATTCCAGGTCGCACTCGCGACACGCTCGATTCCAACCAGTCCTTCTGCAAGATACTATCTGCATCGCTACCCTCTTTCCGCATTTACTACCACCCTTTTACTTCCTTCAACGTTTTTCTTTCCTCTCTCTCTCTCTCTCTCTCTCTCTGTTTCAATGTTTTACGGTCCCGTTTTGATATTTATGGATGCTCCTTGTTCTATTTGTCATTTGCTCCCCCTTTTTCCTCTTCTTTTTCTTCTCCCAAAGGTTAATTCTCAACGAAGAACGTCCCTCCTGGATGTTTGCGCAACAGACTCAACGAGAAACCGCTGCGTGAGAATGCGACACTCGACGAAGCAC